TTTAGAGATTGATTTCAATTTTAAAAAAAATTAAAACTGCGTTTGGTGGTTTAATTTTTTATTTCAGTTTTTTTAAATTGTCAAAGTTAGAATTTAGTTGCAACACTTATCATCAAGCTAGAAAAATGCCAAACCACCTACATATTAACTAATGACTCAGCCACCAACCACCGTTTAACACCACCAATTTTTTTACTCCTCAACAGCTTATGGCCAGAAAAAAAAATCTCTACTCAAACTTCTTCTCCTCTCTCCAAAGTAGAAGACATAAGAGTAAGGGTTTGAGCTAGAAAATTCGGACCTAAGAGAAACCTCCTAGAAAACCATGATTTTTCTTGACAAATTGTAAGTTTAAACCCAAATTTAAGAGGCCAACTTGTACAGCAGTCAAGGTAAGGTGTTCTTCTTGTATTAGAAGGGTTTTTTCATGCTTTTGATGAATTTTTTATGGGTTATGTGTTTATGGGCTGATTAGAGATGTCTTTGTAAAAATGCGACAACCTTAGAACGGAAAAGATGGGGGTCATCTCAGATCGGAGAAGAGTGGGGTCGAGGGAGATCGGAGACTTCGGAGAAGAGAGAGGGTCGAGGAAACAGAAGAAGAATGGGAAGAGGAAAATGAAGGACACAGCAGAAAATGGGAAACAACGGGGAAAGAGGTGGAGGCCGGCGAAAGAGGCGGAGGCCGGCAAAAGAGGCGGAGTGAGAGGCGATGAAAGATTGGGGAAGGTTCTGAGAACTTTTAGAAGAATGGGAAGAGGAAGAGGACACGGTAGAAAATGGGAAGGAAAACGAAAACGGAGGAGAAAATAAAAAACAACTTTTTTGCGTTTTCAGATTCTTCAGAAAACGACAAAAATATTTTTGTTTTTGTTTTTTCAAACATTTTGCACCAAACACGTTTTTCACTGGCGTTTCCAATTTTTAGCCTCGAAAAACGTAAAAATGAAAACGAAAACATAAACAAACAGGGCAATGTGTCAACTCGGTGTTTTTCTATATTTCAATACAATTGGAAAAAAAACAAATGAATTAACACGGTAGTTATGTTTCTATCAGTGGTTAGCATTAAATATAAAAAATTAATAACGTGTCGTGATAATAATCCAATTTCATTACTTTTTTCAATTAACTTTCTAATTTATTATAACCGTTAGATCAATATCTTACAATTAAAATAACGATACCCATCAATAGATAAATAATGAAGTAACCATTAAAATCACACCCATATAATATATATATATATATAACAATTTATTTTGAACTTGATTTGAGTACTGCTAGAAGAGTATTTTTCATATCGTACCTGGAGTTATAAATTTTAGTCGCTCCGCTCTGGGATGGTGGCCCAAATGATGAAATCGGCTTAGGGAGGGAAGGTTGTCCCAGACCAACCTAAAAGCTGGTGGGCTGACCTAAAACTTTTTATGGGAATTTTTAAAAATAAAACATATATATATTAAAAAAGGTTAATTTGCACGCCTCTGCTACCGGAAGCTGTGTGCAGGTCAAAGCCAAAATGTGAAGACTTCAAACTGACGTGTTTAGTCTGCCCAAACTTACAACTCTAATAGTAGAACAGAGTTCTTCCTTTCATTTTTGTTAGTTATGTTTATGTTAAATGGTTATTAAGTATTTGACGACAATGGAGAATAACTTCAAACACCTTGTTGTACTTAAGCAAAAGCCACTTGCTTATACCTCTGGCAATTGTTCATTAATGCCATTAAGAGTGATGGTACAAAGCATAATGGTATATAATTTCTTGAAAACACGTTATGGCTTATCTATTTGCATAAGAAAACTTTAGTTTGATGAGGGAAAATTTTAGTCACACTGGCAAAACATTGATTTTGATAAATGGCCAAAAGAAGGGCCATTATTCAGTTCTTTACCATCCATCAGTCTTGGGGTCTTATTGATTTTCACTTCACCATTGTTAGTTAATGTTCAAGTTATTTCTAATAGTTTTTAAATAATTAGCCGACCAATAGTCAACAATGATTTTTCTAAAACTGGATCCATCTCCTTGGATAGGTTTTCGGTGATATGACAAAATTTGTGTCATTCTCTTTAGCGAATTTCTAAAAGCTTAAAATTTAGAATCTTAACATCTGTTTATTTTATTGATTCGAATCACAACTTAAATTTTTACTGCAGTATTCTTTCTCACATAATATCATATGATCAATTTATACAAGATTTTCTTTGTTCCTTGCACTGATGATAGACATACTGCATTACTATATCAGGGAGCTAAGTTTGCTTAGAAGAACCTTGGAAGCAGCAAAGAAATTTGATGATGTTGAATGGGCCCGTTCAGTTCGCTTATTCGAGTTTTTAATTCGAATTAAGATGTGACTTTATGTGAGAGCTTTTTACTGTAACAAAAAAGTTAGATATGACTGATTCTGAGAGTTTTTTACTGTAGCAAAACTCAAATTCTAAACTCGAATCGGTAAAATGAACAGGGCTTAAAAAAATAAAAACAAAAAAATGACCTAATTAAAGATGGTCATTGAATGGCTCAAAGTTGTCCTTAGCTTGATGTTAAATGTATGGTTAGGTGTGAATGCATTGATGATCTGCAGTTCATAAAGAAATTATGGCTTTCCAACTCATGGGTGTCCGTAGAGTGAGACCACACTATTACCCTGCATTACTCAAAGTGTTGTATAGATAAGAGGAATAATTGGTCCAATAATCAAGTCAATAAACTTTAACCAGTGACGGAATGGTAAAGCGGTAAGGATATCTGTTCTTTCCATTTTTTTTTAAAATGCGCTTAGATTATATACTAAGAAGCTCCAACTAAAGATATTGCCCGACCAATGGGCTATGCAGCATTAGACCCATGGTGGTATGAGCGATATTGAGCTCAGCTTTCAACTAAAATTGGGTAAAACTCTTTTCGTTTTACGTGGATCTTAAGATTTCTTATATAAACAGTGAGGGTGCAAGACAGAAAGACATTAAGTAGACGTTTGGTTTATGGATTTAGAATTATAATTCAAAATTATTTTTAATTTACTTGTGTTTTTTATGAAAAAAAATGCTGTAACGAATCACGAATCATGACACGAATCCACCAACTAAATGCACCCTAATAATCTCTTTTTTTTCCCCTTTTAAAGGGAAAAAAATGGCGCCAGTAAAAGAGGGCAAAACTAAAACAATTAGGAGCCAAGGGGATCTATAATTACAAATCATATAACAATAAGGGGTTTGGTAAAGGGGGAGGGTTGACAAAATTAGAGCATAAAAAATGCACCACACTTATCTACTAGGATAAGTACACTGAACCCATTAAATAGTATTTAAAAACACAGCTTTTAAGCCCTTCAATTCCATAAAATCACAGTCAATAAAAACATCCTTCTGTTTTGTTTAAAGGCCAGTACTAGCTCTTCATTGACCTTCCAAACAACTGAGAGGGAAAAATTATAATTTATTGATTAATTAAGTTGGCTTTTTCGTTTATACCAGATATCCCTTTTGAGCCGCCTCTTACCAAATGGAAAAAGACAAGGGGAAAGGGCTTTAATACAAGTGGCTTGAGAGTGCAATTACAGAACAAGTTGAGGATTTTTAAATTTACAAAAATATCTCCAACTCTAGCCGTTCAACTGCCGACCTTAATCCTTAGCTAATTCATCATCCATTTAGAAAAGACATTTGAGTAGAAAGAAATTGTTAAATCAAAATTAGTTATAGTGGCTTTTTTAATGAATAAAAAAAGTATGGGGAGAGTGAACTAATCATATGTATCCGTATTGAGCCATAGTTATATATGTGTTAGTAGCTACTCGTAAAATAATCTCAAGTGCAGTTTTAAGAGTTGAACTTGAAACCTCTTATCCATCAAGCCACTTAAAATACCATCTTAAACGGTAAAATTAAGAGAAATGAGACAAATACATTTTAAAGTGTATGAGTCAGGATTTATACTCTTTATTCTTAATTAAAACCTTTTTTAGTTAGATAACTATACTAATAAAAGAGTATTAATCAAGAATAAGGGGTAAAAATTCAGACACGTGAACTCTTAAAGGGTAAATTAAAGAAGGTATTTTTTTTTTTTTTGGGTTGTTGTATCACCACATAAATGGGTTTTTCTAAAATATTATGAACAAATGGTTACATACATAATCTAGCGGTAATTTTACACTTGACTTTTACCACAAAATGACGAGTTCAAATCCCCTAAAAAAGAAAGAAAAAAGAAGCATTATGAACAACAAATCAAAGGAGCCATACAAAAGATGGAGAAATAACGGATAAAGAAAGTATGTTTGGCTGAATCAGCTAACTTTTTTATTCAATAGAATATATGAAATTGAGATGTGTCAAATTAATGCTTGCCATGAGCTTCATCACTTGCCACGCTAAATGTTGGAACTAAATTGAATCCACTTGCAGTTAGTTGCAAAAGGATATGGTGAATCAGAAACCATTGATGGTGATATTATAATTTCAATGTCTCTTACTTGTAAAAAACCAATCCTAGGTCAACTGCACTATTGGGCCACTTGGGTCTTGACGGCCACACTTCCATAGGCCCTCTGATTTGGAGCGTGGCCATGTTGCAAAATTGGATTATAATTTTTTTTTTTTTTTTAAAAAAACAAGAAAAATCCAAATTGACATGGTAGAAATTGACCCACAAAATGGAAGTCTTCTTAGTTTGATGGTTTAGATAATACCAATCTTACCAAGAAAGACTGACCCATACATTGACTTTCTCCAAGTCATGGTCTTTTATTACCAAAATAAATAAATAAGTGAGGGAGATTTTTTATTACGTTTGACGTTTCGGTAAGTTGGGTTTTTTAACTATTAGATCTGTATATTTTTTAATTTATACATGATTTTATGTAAATTTGACGGACAGAAAATTTGACATGCAAGTGTGTTGGCGTACTGAAGAATCTCCTAATAAAATAGATTAATGTTCTTCCACAGCTCACAACATGCGTAGATAAATCATTTTCCACTGGTCACCTTGTGCCAAGAAAATTAAAGAGTAGATGAAGCGTGTAAAATTGAGTGAGAATTTAAAAAAAAGAAAAAAACAAATTTATAAGATGGAACATATATTTTATAGAAACACTTAAACACAAATAGTTTTCATTTTCTGCCTTGAACTTCAAGTTTCTACATACGACATCATTTTCTACACTGTCAAATGCTATTACAAATCCTCTCTTTCTACTAACACCAACAGGGCGTGTAATAATTTCAAACAGTGAGCTGTCATGCTCTACCTCATGAACACCTAAAAACGACATCTCTAGGCCATAAACGACAGAAATATTATCATCCAAAATTACATTTACACCCTCATTGTCACAAAGATTTTCACTTTCCTCCTTGACATTACTCCTAACAGTGATCCAATCTTCATCCCAAATCCAATTGGGTTCACATCCAATCAAACTCTCCATTCTTGAAGCTGCAGAATTTAAAGAAGAAACTCCGTCATGATCAGAAGAACTTTCCATGGCTTCAAAGGAGTCCCAAACACTTTGATCAAACACACTCCTTGGAGAAGAAGAAGAAGAAGAAGAAGCAAATTCCAAGTCCTCAAAAAATGGATGTTTTAGAAGCTCTTTAGCTGCCATCCTGTCGTTAGGATTTCTCCTCAAACATATCTCCAAAAAATCCCTACCCTTTTGAGACAACCATCTCGGAATCTCCGGCGACTCACCGGAGAATCCAATCCGGTAAAGAGCCGAAATGGGGTCATGAACTTCAGGCCAAGGATTCTTCCCTGTGGCCATTTCAATGACTGTGCAGCCAAGAGCCCAAATATCTGCTTCAAACCCTTGGTCTTGACCGACGACCACTTCTGGTGACATGAACATTGGTGTGCCGGAAAACACCACCATGTGAGAATCTCCGATTTTCGAGACTTTCTCGAAAAACTTAGCACAACCCAGATCAGAAATCTTGGCATTCTTTTCCCCAATCAAGATGTTGCTGCTCTTTATGTCACAATGGACAACCCCACTTTCATGGAGATATTCCAAGCCTTGTAGGATGTCCCGCGTGTATCTTCTGATCATGGCCTCTTCTAGCCTCCCTCCGTGCCTCCGAATTTCATCGTGAAGCGTGCCGCGAGGAAGGTACTCCATGAAGAGATTGTAGTAAAACTGGCTGTTTTCTCTTGTGATGTCAAAGCCAATGTACTTTACTAGGTAAGGCGAATTTAGCTTGGAGAGAATTGATTGCTCTGTTTGAAGGTACTTGGAGTGGGAAAGCTCGGTGGACTTGGCGGCAAATAGCTCGCCGGAGTGGGTGGCGGTGGCGAGGGAGACCGTGGCGGTTGAGCCGCAGCCTATAGTGGCTTCTCTGGTCCACTCCATGAGGATTTGGAGAGCAAGAGAATGGAGGAAATATTGAAGGGCCAAAATGAAATAAAAGTACTCTTGTTTCTTTCTTGGGCTTTGATGTCCTAATTCTTGAATATAAAGCATGTATTTATATACCAACTTTGGTGAAGAGTCTTTTGGTTCAATTTTCCAATTGCATAAAAGTAAATAGAAAGAACAAGTTTGTTGACCTTCCCGCACGCCTTTACCAAGTCTTTTATGTTCACATTGAGAAATTCATATAATATTAAAAAAAAAAGAAAAAAAAACTTTTTGGTATGGAATTGAGTAGTTAGATTGATTGACTTTTGGCTAAAGTCAACTGGAGCGTTGAATCAGTTGGATAATTCTTTTTTTCTTTTTTTTTAAATAAAAATAATGGGGATAAGTTCAAAGTTTCCTTAGAGAACCGAGAATGTAGAATTAGAACAAGAATTGTCTCTTGAGATATTCTTAAAGTATCTTTTATTGCTTCACGAGTACGTCAGCAAAAGAGCCGCAGCCATTAGCAGATCATAGGCCATGCATAAAGGAAGTCTAGAATCATTTCATTACCATACTTATGCTGAAACTTTATACGGCGTGACTATCAAAAATTTTAAATTTGTATTCGATGACCGAACCAATTCGTGTCTAAATTTTTGGGTACTTAATTGAAAAACACATGCTACATTAAGATACAATTTAAGAAAAGTCTATGAAAAAACTAATAAATTAGTGTACAATGTAGATATATATTGTATGTTATTGAGAATATATGCACTCTATATGTACCTCTTCATTCTTATGTACACGTACATATAGGAGTTTTTAATTTTTACGTTTTTATGGTTATTACTTATTAAATATAGAAATTTAATAATATGACGTGACAAAAATTTAATTTCATTAATTATCATAAAGTATCATAAATTTTTTAATCAACTACCTAATTTATTACAACCGTCAGATCAAATCTTACAATTAAAGTAATGATACTCACTAATAAATAAATATTATAATAACTATTATATATATATATATATCTATATTCTATGTGCTACTGCTTGGTTCACAAGAGTTTGAGTGGTTTCCCCACTTAAGGAATAAACCACTTGCTTATTCTCAAAGCCATTTAACTAAACAAACCAAAGGAATCAGAAAAGTAGAGGAAGAAATGAATGGGAAAACGTATATCTATAGGAATAATTAAAGTTCACTCAAAGAGAGAAAGCTCTTCTCAAAGAATTTTCAAAAGGGTGGTGAAAAGAAAAAAAAAGGAAATAAAAACACATGAACTTCCAGATGTTGTGGTTCACTAACCATGTTGAGAAGTTGAAATTAAAAGTAGATCCACTAGTGTTGGCTGGTTTATGGGGAATGTGGAATACATGTAATGAGAAGAGACTCTCATTCCCAACTACCAAAGTTGTGCACCACACAAGCCCCCATTAAGGGCGCTCACAATTCACAAAGGGCGGTCATTTTGAGTTGGAATGTGGGAACTCTAGAGTTGGAAGTGGCGGAAGTTTAGGTGAAAATAAAAGAGAAAGGAGAATTGTGTGGTCGGGTATGAGAAAAAAAAACTATATCGGTAGAGCTCTGTTTTAAATTGTCACGTTTGTATAAGATTTTGTCGTTTTTATTTTTTTATTAATTTGATATGATTTTGATCAGATCTAACATTTTAAAAAAATTGTTATCTGGGAAATTTTTTGTTACGGTAAGAAAGAATAAATACTATCAATATATACAATTGCAAACTTTCATCAAGATTCTATTAAACTGTTATTTTTTCTAAAATCGATATAATTTTGATGTGATATGTCAATTCAAAACCTCACCACAGAATTTGTTCGTTGTCCTAATGAGTAGGTCTCAACTAATCCCAAAAGAAGGAATGAAGAGGAGTGGGTAAAACGCACTCATTGACCTCCAATTCCTCAACCAAAAGTTCCTGTCATTCACACATGTACCCTCTAGAAATGTTTGAACTAGCAAATTAAAATATCTCATGGGGGATGGGAAGAATGAATCTCTCTCAAGCGCCTCCAATTTTGGCAAAATTGAAGCCGGTGAGAGAGAATTTGAAAAAGGGAACTAAAAAACATTGCAATATTGATAATGATGAAAATGACAAAAGCATGAACTAAAAAGAGCAAAAACAACACTAAACATTGAACAAAGTAAAAGAGTTTTATTAATGACATCACAAAGTAAAAAAAGTTTTATTTCATCTTGGAGTTCCAACATAACATCATATGACATCACAAAAGTGCCCTCATTAACAACAGTAGTAACTATTTCAATAGAACGATCAAACGACAATTCCTCATCAAACGACAATTCCTCATCAAATGTTATTGAGCCATAAACAAGCTCTTCTTCATGAATTGGCTCTTCAATGCTATTGCTTCTAATAGTGAACCAATTTTCTTCGTCACAGCTCCAATCGGGTAAATTTTGAACAGAACAAAATGCGCTTCTAATCAACATCTTGATCCTTTCTTCAGCAGAATTCAAAGAAGAAGCTTCTTGATCTTGATGACTCTCGAAAGCTTCAAACGAATCCCACAAATCCTTATCCAAAACACTACTTGGGGAACTCATTTTAGCCTTTACTTGTTGCTCCGATCTCAACTCCGACACTTGAAGAAAAGGGTGCTCAAGAAGCTCATTAACTGTCCATCTCTCCCTCCAATCCCTCTTCAAGCACTTGCTCAAAAAGTCCTTGCCTTTCTCCGAAAACCACCTCGGAATCTCCGGCACACGGTCGGAGTATCCGATCCGGTAAAGTGCCGACACCGGATCATCCATCTCCGGCCAAGGCCCTCGACCGGTCGCCATCTCAATTACGGTGCATCCCAAAGCCCAAACGTCAGCCTCAAGCCCCTGCTTTTCGCCGCGGGCAACCTCCGGTGCCATGAAAGCCGGCGTGCCGGAGAATTGCAAAACCAGGGGACTGTCACCGAATTCGGCTTCTCCAACGAATTTAGCACACCCCAAATCAGCAATCTTGATACCCTCTTCACCGATCAGCATATTCTGGCTCTTAATATCACAATGTACCAATCCATTTTCATGAATGTGATCCAGTCCTTGCAGAATTTGTTGAGTATAGATTTTGATCAGAGACTCATCTAGTCTCCCTTCCCGGCTTCGGATCGCATCGAAAAGCGTGCCGTTGGGGAGGTACTCAATGAAGAGATTGTACATTGGAACATCATTTTCAGTAGTGACATCGAAACCCAAGTACTTGACTATCCTAGAAGAGCTCAATTTGGAGAGAAAAGACTGCTCCTTTCGCAAGAAAACCGCGCGACAAAGCTCGGCGGACTTGACGGCGAATGGCTCACCCGACCGGGTGTCGGTGGCGAGATGGACAGTGGCCGTGGCGCCCCGGCCAATGGTGGGTCCCCTAGTCCACTCCATTGAGCAGAGAATGGAGAATTGTGATATGAAAAAACAGAGGAAAACAGAGCAAAAAACAGAGTAAAACAGAGTATTGTGTTTTTTTGGGTTTTCGTTTTGGTAAAGAGAAGTTTGGTCTTTGTAAAATTTTATTATACACCAAGCAAAGGCTTTCGGTGGGTTTTGGGGTTTAAAAAGAAGTGGCACAAGAGGGATTTTAAGCAAGAAGAATGATTTTTTTATTTATTTTTTTTTTTTTTGGTAATACTCTGCTTTGTATTCCCACAAAGTGAAGGTTCCTTGAATACGGTTGAGACACGTGGCGAAAGGAGAGGGGATTTGACAGCTCTGGCCGTCCAGGAGCCGCAATTACTTAGCCTGAGAATAAAGCCAACCCACATGGCGACGCGTGAAGGCTCGTGCCTGTATTGCGGTGGCAAGGAAAAAAAAAATTTTTATTTGGAGAAATTAATGGTGAGTAAGAAAAGGGTTATTTTCACTTGGTCTTTAAAGCTATGAATTTATCTCATTTTAATCAGTAATGTTTCTAAATATATATACTTTTAGAAATGTCTTTAAGTCTGTCTCCAGAATCAATCAGTCAGGCAAATGTAACACTTTTCGTATTTTCGTCTGTTTATGTGTGTAATATTCAGTTTGTTTTAAGTATAATACTCAATATTACATGTGGTGAATTATATTTTTTGAATGTTACAATTGAACGAATAAAATATTATAGGGTAATCTTGATAAATACACTTTAAAAGTGTATGAGTCAGAATTTTTATCCTTTATTCTTGATTCATAACCTTTTAATCAAATAATTATACTAACAAAATGATATGTATCAAGAGTATGAGGTAAAGATCTAGATTCATGCATAAATTCTCAATTTTTTCAATATTTTTTTATATAGACATACGAACAATATCACATCGTAATATGAAAAAGTTGAATTTGTTAGAAGGTATGGTGTCAGGATTTTACCTATATTTTTCACTTTTTTGTTAGTAAACTGTATATTTTACGCACAATAATAATAAAATTATTATTATGTAAGATAATAATAATATTATTATTATGTAAGAGTTATAAGATGGATAGAATAGCTATATAAAAGAACAAGCAGATCTAAAGAAAATTCTAAAAGAAAAAAAAAATTAGATTGGTCCAAAATCTGATTTTTTATTTCGTATCTCGTTTCTTTTTTTTTTTTAGATTTTCTTCAAATATGCTTTTTTTTTTAATGTCACTTTATCCTTTTAAAAACCCACACATGTTATCCTCATGTTAGTTTCTAGAACGTAAAACCGTATATTTCAAAACCATTATGTTAACTCAACCTCTAAAGTAAATATCGAAAGGTCAAATTGAGATAAATAAGAACTTTAAGTACATCATGATAATATATAGTTTTGAAAAATCAACTCACATTGAAATTATCACACTAAGAAAAATATGACAATATATCTGAATCTAACAAAATTTTGACATTTTAGAATTGTGAACTTTCACATTTTGCCACATAATTCTTCTAAAAACTATGTCTAGAATTTTTAAGGTTTTTTTTCCCTAAAAGCTCGAGTTCTAGTCCTTTTACTTTATTTGCAACGCGGTGTTTTAGAATTATTAATTCTCATTAGGACACTTAATAGGACAACTGTGTTCACACTCGGAATTTCAAAATAGAATATGCAAATTCTGTACCATTTCTGCATGGCTTTGTCAAATATTTGTAATAAAGTTGTAATAAATGGCATATTGGTCGGTTCTTGAAGAAACAAAGAAATCTTAGAGAGCGAAACTTGCACGCAATTCTTTGTTTTTTCAATGTGAAACCGAGCGTCTTTCTTTTTCTTTTGGTATTGATTGTTTCATTAAACACATAATTATATAAACGCGTAAGCTTGACAGACTATTTCTGAAAAGATCCAGAAATAAAACCACAAAAAAATGTTTTTTTTTTTTTTTTTTTTTGGAAAAAAAAAAAAAAAAAAAAAAAAAAAAAAAAAAAAAAAAAAATTGTTTGAAATTTGCCTTTTCATGGAAGGAATCTAAAGAAGTGTGTAAAAAGCCGAGTAAATCCAACTGTATCCCATGTCAAAAAAAGGTTTGTTCTTGTTGGTTCATAATGGACGGCGGTATTGCTGTTGAGATTCATACCAATCTTGTGTTAATAATGTATCGAATCACGACCGATTATTTTTATCACAATGTATAGTCAATTTTTCAAAAGTTGAATGGTGGTTAAATTGATATAAATTGTTTGAATTATTGTCGTTAAAAACATTCGAAAGAAAGCTTTTTAAAATTCTTATTCGATGCATGGAAAATGACCGGCGCGAAATTAAAAAGAAGAAAAAAAAAAAAAAAAAAAAAAACACAACCCGCACCCCCCTCTTTATTTTTTTTTCGACGTGGGAAAAAAGCCCGGCGAAAAAAAAAAAAAAAAAAAAAAAAAAAAAAAAAAAAAAAACTCAATCCGAACCCTCATCTTTAATTTTTCTTTTTTCCTCTTAGCCAATTAGAAAAAAAGGTGTGACTTTTTGCTTGCAATTCACCAGAATCAAAATTCCCTAATAACTAGGGACCTTATTAAGAAAAAAAACCAAAAGGGATTCAAATAAAAAGGGAATATATGATCAAATGCTGATTCATTGTGTCGGTACTCATATGATTTTTTTTTTTTTTCACTGTGGCTGCTTCACCAAAGAGGCCAAAGCATTTAACAGCCATTTTTCCTTTACAGCTATTTTCACACTCACCCACCTCTTGATCTTCTCCTTTTTCACTTTTTTCATTATTGGATTTCTTATGACAAAAGGGGACCAACCGCCCAACAGAAGTTGGAGCTCTGCCTATTTGAATGCAGCTCAACTGTGGAATGCAAAAATGATCAAAAGCAGCAAATCCCATCCGATTGGGTAACTTCTACGGCCGGATCCGTTATTTTTAACTATTGACAGGAGCTTCTGCTTTAATTGTTCGATTAAGTTTTCAACAATTTAATTTAAGAGTATCCACATTAAAAATTTACAACGCGAGACGTAACGACTTTAATCACATATCAGATAATTAAAAAGAACGAGTCTCATCCGAGAAATTTCTGTCTTGTTTTTCTTATACTTCAAGTCAATCATGAACTTTTCTTTTTGGGGAATTTCGAAATTTGAACCAAATTGACGCCTAGGCGTGTTAACTTTGATCTGAATCAACTCGTTACAAAATTCAAAAAAAAAAAAAAAAAAGACAATATAATAGAAAGTTGTGAATTGTGATAGGGGGATGATGTATTTTAAAGTCAGGTCGTATGGTAAGCAATTGCAGTCTGCTTTCATGTTGGAAAAAAGTACGGTTGACTTTCCTAAAGCCTTTTACTTTTGCTCAATGACGGTGTTCAAGTACAATCAAAGTCTTTCCACGAAAATGAAACCTAAGATAGCCAAATTTTTACTTCATCGAGAAGGGAATGGTTCGAAATAGAGAATTTGAGTTAAAAATTAAAATTACGTAAGGAAATATATTATACTTAAAAAAGTTAAATTTAAATTTTTATAAAAAAAAATAATGTAATAAAAATTTAAATTGTGATTCGAATTAATAAAACGAACGAGAAACATTAAATTAATCATTTTGTGATCGTACCATGCAGTTAAATTTTTAACGTTAAATGTGAGGCCTTTGTAAAAATAACTCTTTTGAAAAATTTTATTAGTAAAATAACTTTTTAGAAATTTTTATTTGTAAAATGACATCATTTTACAAAGAATGAGTAAATGTCTTTCTTCATGAAAAATAAAAAAATATCATTTTACTAATTTCACTTTGTTGAAAAGTCATTCCAGCATATCATCCCGTTAAATGCTGGTCAAAACAATTTAAACTGATATCTTTTTGTTGTTGCACTACACATGACCAAAAAAAAAAAAAAAAACCTGCAAGTTTCAATACAACCATTTTCAATATCTAAGAAAATAAACTACACAAGTAATGTAAAATTAAAATAATCTCACACGAAAAAATAGTCCGCAGAACAATTAATACGTCGTTTGAATTGAAAGTTTGAACATCTAAAAAATAAATCAAATAAAACTTTATTCTTTTCAAGAGAAACAATACATTTCACCATGCGGTTCAGTTTTTCCTTGAAGTTTTATGGCTTTAGTTTAAACCTTTTCGTTAAATATGCATTATTACAAAAAAAAACACACGTAAATTAAAAATAATTTTAAATCATAATTTTAAATTTATAAACTAAACGTTCCTTAGTGACTGCACTCTCAAAAACTTGATCATGTTCTTGCCGTGGATTATGGATCTAATAATGCATATTTAATTTTGATTATTCAAGGACGAGGAAGTTTGAGGTCTCTACCCCAACGTAAAAAAAGAAGAGAGAAAAAAGAACAGAAGAAAAGAAAAAACATAAACTCGAAAATCGAAATGTTTTTTTAGACACAAACAAGTTCATCCAAACGAGAAGGATCCATTTATATATGCAAATATGTAAATACGATAACCAAAGCAATCCATTTTTTCCTAGATTAAAGCGAAAAGAAAAACTGGATGCAGTTCTGATAAAAGCCATAAACCGAGAGTATTTACATACAACTGTTATTCACTTCAAGTGTGAGGTTCCCATGTCTCTACGGTATTAAACATGGTCACAACAGAGAAACATAAACAGAGTCCGACAAGCATATGAAATAAACATATTTACGCGGCTTCTGCAAACCCAATCCTCATGTTCCCGTAGTCGAACACCGTGTGGTAACGACCCATGAACACATCTCCTAGGATCCTGTTGAGCAATAAAAAGTTAATTAGAACCATTAAGCTGCCCCGACATGTAAGAACATATAGTGAAGATCTTGTTCCTAACGACGAAGAGTTTTGTTGACTGTGCACCAAGAATACTGACGTATCGATCCATAGGACCGACCAAGTCAAGATCATGATTCATAACCAAGACAAAAATAACAAGCAAAATGTGGAGGGAAGTTGGGATGTTCGATGATACCAGAGAGGTCCACGAGGAGGCGGCACATCCAAAGCCGTAAAACCACTAATGCACTGAGCCACATCACCCTCACCAACTTTGAGTATGTACTGTTTGCAATCACCCAAAGAGGACGTATTAATAGATAAAACATAAGTCAAGAAAAACAGCATGCCTAAAATCCCTTAATGCATTACAAAAAAGATAGCAATAATAAGATAAAATAATTCTCATAATGGAACCATCACATTTGTTAAAAAGAAATGTTAAATGCTAGTTAATCTCTTGATTCTATAAAAGTGGGACAACCATCGAAACTTATAACTGAGAAAATATTGGAGGGCAATAAAGAATTTGAAAAGCATCATATAATACCTCCTCAGGTTTGAGTTCAAATTTCTTTCCACCGATGGTGAATGAAACATCAGGCAAGGAAGACAGACTGCCACAATCAACTGCTGATTCTCCCATTGGGCTCGGCAGCCGTTCACATAGCTGCATGGACAAAGTCACAGCATGAGGGTGAAAACACAAACAATTAATACATGGAAATAAAAGGAGGGGGAAAAACCAACAAACACGAGTTATTTTACCTGATTCACATAGTTAAGAATTTGATCCTGCGTTTGATTCTGCTTGATCTGGTTTTGCATCCATACAACTGCCATCTCACAAGCCGAGCACATTCCATCACGCAGATCACCGGATGCCTTGCCAACATTCTCATCCACAACACTCTTAATTCCCATGCTGACCAAAAGACAATTCCAGAAGAGGAAAAACAAAGTTAGAATAAGTTAAGAAATGCAAGAAAACGAAATTAAGTAACAATACACCTCATGGGAGGTAGAAATGGACCAATGTAACACATCAATTCAACCGAATGAATGCATCTCAGTCTAACCTCACACCACGAGTCCCATCAAAAGAACATAAACCAATTTGAGCGCAGATCTTTTTGGGCTGGTCCTGCCAAAATAACACCAATAGTGTAAATAGGTGAGGGGTAATATATCAACTCTAGCATGTTATGAAGTTGCAGATACCTTCGCTAAAAGGCTTTCAATTATGGTTTGCCCATATTGTTCAACTATGGCCTTGCATTCTTCACTTACAACTCCCGTTGCTCCAATGGCATGATTCAGTTCCGTAATTATAGTCTGTACACGAGATAAATATATATTTCATTGAACCAAAAAAAAAAGTTGGCACATAAAAGCCATTCAACGCTCTCCTTAAATCATCAAAGCTAGATCTTATTTATGGAACCATGACTTTCCAAGAAACTAGAAAACAATTGAGCGTACAAATGCCAGTTAAAGAAAATGAAATTTCATCAATTTAACAAAAAAAAAAGGTATTGAACCGAATACAGTAGAGTACCAACCCTAGGTTATAACTTTGAAAAACTACACATATAAAGAAAAGGAATTACTAAACAATGATGTAAAACGGGGTTCAAGTATAAAGGGAGAAGAAAGAAAAGAGATTTCCTCATAGACAAATAACGTGAAGGGTAGCCCAAACAAGCTTTGGAACTATACATGTGCAGATACAAGCAAAAATAAAAACGCAAACAGACAAAAAGATGCTCACCGTTGGCCCAGCCAATAAAGAGGTCCCAGAATCAGCAATTGCTGAGCAGCCGTCGGCACAAAATCCTGAAGTACGTTTGCTTAAATTAGAGCCGGTAACATGTATAAGACTGAAACAAACTTCCAAAACTCTCTGAATTACAATAACAAAAACAACTTCTATATCTAATGTGCTCACCAGTTGATTTACCATCGACCAAAACATCACCCATATCAAACTGGCAGCAAAAAAAAAAAGAAAAGAGAAATTCTTGTTAGAAGATGAGTTTACGCTTGAACAAAACAAGCACAATAAAATTTTGCAGGACCAACCTGCCAGTAGCCTTTCCGTGTAACAGGAACATAAGTGTGTTCACCCTTGTAATGGTCTGGATCCACTCCGCCAAAAACAATTTCACCTCCTTCGTCTTCGTCGGCATTGCGGTTAAACCAAAATGAGAAAATTGGTTCCTTAAGAAGACCTTGATTGACCATGTTGTACCTGCATCAATGTAGAAGTTACTAATAGTGAAAGTGAACTCCTTTCATATATTCCTATCCAAATTGTTGAAAACAACAAATGACAAGGTTACAACAGACCAAGAGGTCACAACTAACAGCAAAGGATAAAATAATATACCAAACAGGCACAGCATTTCCAACGGAAATCTCTTGAAACCCAAGGCCAAGTATTCCATCAAACTTGGCTACCAAGAATGTGATGCTGGGTTCTCTTGTTGCCTCAATAAATTCCTAGAACAAACCACCTTTCTTAGTAAGAAAACCACAATTGAAATTTGAAGCTTTCACGTTAAAGCATGTAGTCATAAAGAACCTAAGATTACCTGATCTTTGACCACGAGGTCACCAACTTTCACATAGTCCTCACTGAAGAAACCAGAGATAGCTCCAGTTCCATATTGGATTGACGCAGATTTACCTGCAAGGCAGAGGAAACAATTAATTATCTGACATCCACAAAAGATTTTCTCTATTGTCATGCATTTAAAGAGAAGAGTGACAAGATATATCTATATATACAAACATCGTGAAATGCTAAATTAAAACTTCATAATGGTGTTTATGCATCAAATATGAAAAAAATGTTTTTTTCCCCCCTAAGGAAAAAGAGAATAGCCGCCTAAAACAAGATTGGAGTGTGAGGAGCCAACCATTCTTCTTGTAGCTACTTGAACTACGCGATTTGTACTTCGAGTGGAAATAGCAAGCCACCTGCAATAAGATAGAAGATTGTAACAGTCTATTATCCATGACAATAGTTTATTCAAGCCAAAACTAACGCAACAAAGACGAAAAAAAACTCACAGAAAAGAGAACTCACCGAGAAATAGCACTTAGCAGAAGGCACCCAAAGATTAGAACTACCAGTGTCGAAAATCACAGTAAACTTCTGAGGTGGCGTACCAATACCAATCTCGCCAAAATACTGAGCATCCATGTAGTTCTTGAGTGCCACAATATCAGTGTCCTCCGGATCTCCTAGGTTTCCACGGAGGCGATATTTGCGAATAGATGCCTTGAAAGCTTCTCCTTCCTTGGACTCAATCTGGGCAGCAACTCGATTGTTCTGGTCGAACTTCCTCTTCTTTAGTCCAATTCTGACCAACCCATCATTGGAAGCAGAAAACACCAAAGGAAACAGGAGAAGGCATATGAAAAGTGTTGCAGGCACTGACTTATTTTGAGTTCCCATATTCTTTAACTGCAAAGCAAAAATACTCCAAAATCAGACACAAATAAAACCACCTTAATACAGAACAGCAATAAACTTACACAAACACTAATTACCAAAAAAAAATAAAAATAAAAAAATCCTGATATGCCTAAGCTAGAGTCTTGTCTTTACCAAGTGTAAGCCTAAAGTCAACGCATTCATTTATGCCCACTTTGTGTTATGCTTATATATAGATATATTACAACTTACAAGTAAAATACCTAACTAATAGAATGAATATGATCAAAGCATCAAAAACATTATGCACAGCCACAATTTGAGATTACATATATAAGACTAATTACCATCTAAATTTCAACTTTCAAGGAATAAATCGAAGCTTTAATCAAAACCCACAACACAATTTCTTCAGAAATCAAAACACGCCAACACCACGAAACTCATAGCTCTTCAAAATTCGTGTCTCAGAAGTAATCAGAAAATGCAAAAATCGCTCCCAGAAAAAAGCACAAGAACAAACTAAAAAACCGAAAAAAAAGGAAAAGGAAATTCGCAATGATTCACTATTTTTCCCTTCCCAAAATTTCTCAGCAACCAAACAACAAAATGAAAAAGGAAAAAAAAAACCCTAAAAATAAATTCAAAATACCTGACAATCACCGAAAAAACTTAGAACTTCTTCCGATCAATCAAATAAAAATCATGAAATTTGAAGAAGATAACGAGAATGATCGAGAAAATATCTAACCTTTTCTTTGTCTACTGATTAGTAGTTGACGAGTAAATGCCGTAAAACGACGAAATAGAAAATATTTAAAGAAGGAAATTGTCGGGACTAAGAAAAGGATAATATATATATATATATATATCATCGTATCGAACAGTCCGCTCTCTGCGGTTCGTTTTTTACCGAAAGCGAACAAGCTTCGATCTGAGACGTACACTTGTACAAACACACGGGAGTGATCAAAAGTGGGAGGATAAACTACCCCCAAGATTCTTTTCTTCTTTTCTAGAGAAAAAAAAGGTCAAAAGGTGAAGAGAGCTAATTGTATGCGGAAGGGACCACCAGTTAAGTAATGGATTCAAAGCTCGAAAGAATGGGCTGGGCTGAGAAGTACATGGACTAGGTCGGCCCATTATCAACCTGTTGAGCGCCAGAAACGAGGAGAAGAGAAAGTTACCGGAAGGGAAGAGATAAATATCTTTTCTTGATCTATAGGTTTGAATTTTTACCTTTCTCTATTAGTTAATACTATTTTTAGTCAAAAAAATTATATTAATTAAAAGGTATTAATTAAGAATTAGAGTTAAAAACTTAAAATTGTGTACTTTAAGTTCAGCAATTTTCTCTTATAAGAATAATCATTTCAAAAAAATATTTTGATAGAAATATGAAAAATATCTTATCAGAATATTAATGGCATAAATAATAAATTTTAAAATTAATGGCAGAAATACTAGTGTTTATCTTTTTTATGGCATTCTTGAAAATTCTCCAAAGGAGAATATTAGGTCAATTGAGAATGTGTAACACACTGAAAAATTAATTGAGATTAATTAAGGTAATTAAGATTATTAGTGTGCCTAATCTGGATTATTAATTGAGTTTAATTAATAAATGTTTCTGACACGCGTGAGTTTAAATAGTTTCAAGGTATTTAAATTATTCTCAGTAATTTATTTTAACCCAGAAGTGTGTATGGGCGCATTTCTGGACTGTTCTTTTAAAATATTGTACACATGCCCTTTTCCTTTCCTTTTTCCTTTTCTTTTCTTTTCTTTTTCCTTTTCCTTTTCTTTTCTTTTTCTCTTCCTTCCCCGTGCGTCTCTCTCCCTCACTCTCTCTCTCACCCTCCCGTGCTCTCTCTCACTCTCACTCTCTCTCTCTCTCTCTCTCATTTTTGTCCCAAATCAAACGGATCTTGAACCAAGCAAAGATTTAAAGAAGTTTTCAACGTCAAGAGAAGGATTCGAGGTAAGATTACTGAAAGAACCTCTCTTGAATCTTACGTTTTCGGATTTCAAAACCCATTTTTGGTTCAAACCGGATTTTGATGGTTTTTGAGTAAAACTATAGTAGAAATTGGAGATCTTGGGTTCTTTGGACTTGTTTTAGGACCTAGAACCCAGATCTAGTGGTTTCCCTTTAAAAAATCTCGATTTGGGACTGGATTTTGCAGGTTTTGGATTGATTTCCGCGAGCTTCTCTCGCGCAGCTGATTC